GGTGCTTCTCTCCATGTTTACCTGTCAAATCTATCAGTCATCTGTGACCATAGCAACCAGTTCAGCTGGACCAGAGACATGAAGAACATTGAACATATTTGTGCACTACTGGCTGGTAAGACTGAAAGAGAAAATGTTGATGATGATCATTTAGATGTTTTTCTTAAAATAACACTTCTTTCATTTAAAGAAATTAATTATTGACGTGACCTTCTCACACCAAGAGTGAAATATAACTTCACAGAAAGAGAATTAATATTTTTCTGGATGCTATTTTATTGTTTTTGACCACTAGTTTAAGAGTAAAACAAGCAAATAAAGTTATTTGTATACCTGCTTTGCACATTGTCGGTCTATAAAAAAGACAAAACAATCACTACTAGTCAAATTCTGTAAGAGAAATTAATTGTTCTTTACATCTGATTGACTCAGAGTTTAATCTGTTTTTATATTTAAGGTCTTTTGATTATTTTGTTTGTTTGTTTGTTTGTTTGTTTGACATTGTCTTTGTGTTGCAGGTTGTGGGAGTCTCTGTGATGGTATATCTGTCTGTGTGGTAAAGACGGTTGTTTTCTCTGTGCATCTAATCATCATGGTGTTTGCTGTCATCAGTGTCCACATCACAGAGAAAGTTGAGAGGCAAAAAATAAATAGTGCATCAATTACACTGTACATATAGTTCACAGCCTTCTTTTTTAAAAAACGTCTTCTCTAACCACTTGTATCCTGTTTCATTGTTTGTAATTTGTTGCATATGCTGTATAAAACCCATATATATGCTCTGAGTGTTGTTCATTCCCTATGCTACAAAAATATAAATATGATTTAGGAATTTTGAAAACAAGACTTTGGAAGTATTTTATGATAAAGTTTTACAGTTTTACAGACTAGAATTTACTTATATTCACTCATCACTTGATAATTTTATACTAAATGTAAAATTAATTAAAGTGCAAACAAAGTACATATAAACATGGTCATGTCAAAATGGGTCAAAAAAGATATTTGTGATAAAAGTGCTAAATAATTTATAAAAAATAAAGGTTATGTATCACTTTTTAAAGAAAATTGTGTTTTTAACGTTTTTTCTTAAATACAAGTTTCTTCTCTCTTGGATCAGCTGGAGTGTGTTTCTGATTTCTTTTTTTCCCCACAATGCAGGATTAACATCTCTGAACCCTGAACTTTCTTCAATGTAACCAGAAGAGGGCAGCGAGTGACTTGTGATGTGGGCTGCAGGGAGATCATAAGTTTAGAAATTTTATTTTCAGCTGTTAATATATAAACGTTTTTCTTTTTCTTTTTTTTGCCTGTCCCATTTGGTTCTTTAGCC